ACCCTACACACCCCACACAGGTCACCCCATTACTAAGAGTCTTTAGAAAGAGTGATAAAGAACAGCTGAGCCTTCATCCTTAGAATGTATTCCTTCTTTATTCTTTAATTTGTCCAATACAATTTTATTGAGCATTTATTACATGCCTGGTATTACTCTATTCTACATGTGCTCTGATGACCATATGGTCCAGTGACGTATTTAAATATCAAAGACTATTTGCATGATGCTAGATTGTGACTGACAGAGCGTGCTGGGGAGGGCTTTTCTTTTTAGGAACCTGAAGAAATCTTTCTGAACTTTCTAACTTATTCTTACATTAAAAAATAAAAAAAACCACAAAAGTACACAGCACATATAAAGCAGAGTTTTATAATATAGTCATATTTAATAGCACATTTCTTCTAAAACAATGATTTGAAGTTTAAATCTGATATAGTATACTGCCAAATAGCAGTTCAGTTCTTAATTAAAGCATGCTACAAATGAACTGTTCATAAGTTCTCTGAACTCCTCTACAGTTGAATCTCTCTCCTTTTGAGTAAGCTTCTAACCAGTGTCACCTGATGGGCTGAAGTGTGTGGGTCAGTCCTAGAGAGAACTGCAGTACTCCCTGGCTTTGTTCTTGGATTGTTCACTTTGGAGGAAGCCTGTTATGGCATCGTAAAGATGTTCACATAGCCTGTGGAGGGGTCCATATCATCATGAGGAACTGACACCTCTTGCTAACATACAGCCAATAACCCTGACTTCTGACATCAACCATATGAGAATGTCGTTTTAGTAACAGGTCTCCTTGCACTAGCCAAGGGCTGAGAGAAAAGGCCACCTTCAGCTTGGCAGGAACCTCATGAACAACACTGAGGCAGAGCTCTTCAACCAAGCCAATCCTTAATTCTTAACCACACACACTGTGAGATAATGTTTTAAACCATCGAATTACACAAACTTAGATACACAGTGGATGTAAAAAATAAAAGATACAGTTCTTGATTTAGATATACATATACAAGAATAGATGAACACATAAAATTGTGGTGATGTGATGAAAATCAAGATAGGTTCTCCGAGAAAGCAAAAAAAAAAAAAAAAAAAAAGAGCCCCAGTCTGAATCAGACAGTAGGGGATTCTGGGAAATGTCTTAGAAATAACAGTTGAGGGCTGGGGAGATGATCCAGTAGGTAGTGCACATGCTGTGTAAGCATAAGGGCTGAAATTTGATCCCCAGAACCCATGAAAAACTATGTAGGCATGGCAGTTGCCTGTAATCCCCACACTCCGGGGAGGCAGCGCCCAGGGAACCTCAGGGCAAGCTGGATAGCTAGATTAACCAAATTGGTGAGCTCTGGTTTATACTGAGAGATTCAGCCTCAATAAATAAAGTGGAGAACACCTGAGGAAGACACTCAATGTGAACCTTAGGCCTCCATACACACACACACACACACACACACACACACACACACACACACACACACACACACAAACACACATATATGCACAAGCGCATGTATTGTCTACACATGCCCCCCCCAAAGAAATAATGATGGGGGTGGGGGTGGGATGGGCAGAGGAGTGTAACTTGGTGATTGAATTCTTTCCCAGTACATGCAAGGCTCTAAGTTCAATCTACAGAACTGCACATATAAACAAACAAATCCTGAGTAAACCCAAGTAGATAGATAGCATACTTATTATTAAACTATTCCCCTTCACACCAAGCTATCTTCTGTCTTTGTGATTTTGGAGCAGGGACTGTGGGACTTTATCTGTTTTATTTTGTTTTGGGTTTTGCTTGGTTTTTTTTCTTCATTATAATCTGTCCCTAAAAGCATGATAGTGGGACTTCAGGCTGAAGAAGGGGAATGGACTTCTCTTGTCAATCTGCTTTCTGTTCCTGCTGGTGAAAGCTAACACACTAATGCCACTGATGATCTTAGGGTCAGAGTCTGGGTAGTTCCAACAGCTTAAGCTTGACCACCTATCCTGAACAGACTGCTTACAGAGGCAGGTAATAGTGAAATGCAGAGAAAGGAGATGTATTCAATAATCATAATTTAATTAATCATAAAAGAAAAAGAGACATTTCAACAGATAAAATAGATAAACCATAGGAGAGATTACTGTGAACAATTATATGTCAGCAAGTTTGATATTGTCTAAGAAATGGACAAAGTTCTGAAAACACACCAACTACCAAAACCAAATCACAAAACAGTAGAAAGTTTGAATAAAGCTGCACTAGGTGAGGGGCTTTTAAAAAGCAATCAAAAACCTCCCAGCAGGGGCTAGAGGGATGGCTCAGAGGTTAATAACTCTGGCTGCTCCTTCAGAGACCCTGATTCGATTCCCAATACCCACACAGTGACTCATACCCATTTGTAACTCTGGTTCCAGGGACCTGATCCTCTCTCCTGGCCTCTGTGAGCACTGTACACATGCAGAACACAGATACAAACACAGACAAAATACTCAGATACATAAAAAACAAATAAAATATCTCAGGAAGGAAAAGCCTAGGACTCTATGGCTTCATTGCTGAAATCTGTCAAATATTAGATAAGAAATAATGTAAAAAAACTAATGAAAAGGTATGACTAAATATTGACACTGTCACAATGGCCTCTGTAAGAAAGACAGAAGATAACTGTTGCAGTCAGAGAGGAAGGAGAATTCTGTGCAACCACTGATAGGAAAGCAGTGTGACAGTTCCTCAAAAAACAAAAAGCAGCTACTTTATGACCTAGCAATTCTGTTGCTTGCTATGTGTTCAAAGATGTTTAGTATGCCAAGGAGACATCTGCCTTCTCATGTTCACTGTGGCACTATTCAAGAGAGCTAAGATGTGGAATTCACATAAGTGCCTGCCAATGAATTAATAAATTGTTATATATATATACATGGTGATTCATGTTTACCCTTCAAAAGGAAGAAAATCATATCATTTGCAATAACTTGAGTGAACCTGGAAGACAATGTGCTGAGTGGAGTGGGCTAAGCCCAGAAAGATAGACTACCTACTTTATCTATATGTGGATTCTAAAAATGTCAAATTCACGGAAGTAAAGAAGAGGATGGTGCTTGCTGGGAGTTGATGGTGGTCAGAGGATACAGGATTTCACAAAGACAGGGTGAATGAATTCTAGAGACCTACTGTACAACATTGTGACTATAGTTAATAATGACATATTGTACACTTGAGCATTACTAACACAATAGATCTGTACTTTTCTTTTCAGTATTAGGGATTGAAGCCAGGTCTTTCTGCATGCTGGCCAAGTAATGTACTATGAATACTGAGAACAGTTCTTATATGCTCTTATTACATCAATGAAATGAAGTATGAGAATGTCTTAATTTTATTTTAATGCTCATTTAATCATATATATATATATATATATATATAATGACATCACCTTGTACAATGTAAATCTTTGTCAAATGTACTGTAGTGAAGGTGGCAAAAAGAGCCCTGGGTCCACTATCATACAGTTACACTTCACTTAATCATGGGGTGATGTTCTGAGAAGCACGAAGCTGGGTGATTCTGCTGCTGTGTGAACTTCATAGCATGTACTTACACAAACTAAGACAGGTATGGCATTGTCAGATGATGAAATCTTATGAGACCATCATTAGAAGCTGGCCATTGTTGACTGGAATGGCATTATGTGGTATATGGATGTAGTTCTCATATTTCATACAGCATGTGACAGTGGATGAGAACATGATGAGCAGCTTGTCCTCATAGGATGGGGAGGACCAGCAGGATTGATGGATTTTCTTCATCTCACCAAATTATCTTCTGAAGCTCTGTGCATATTTCCAGTGTGCTGTGATCATAGCCATGATGTATACACAGTTATGTAGTCACATGCTTGGAAGAATTGGCATAGATGCAAATAAACAAATGCTATATGCATATATATCTATACATATTGGTTAAATACATACATGCATGTACATATCTGTATCTAGAGATATATCTTTATACAAGGAGATTTGGATATGGATTACTGTTGTAGAATATTCCTTTATATTGTGTGAAGATGTGTTACTGTGATTGGTTTAATAAAGAGCTAAATGGCCAATAGCTAAGCAGGAAGAAGTTAGGCAGGACTTCTGGGGACAGAGAGGAAGAAAGGTGGGGTCCCCAGCCAGACACAGAAGAACAAAACATGTAGGAGGAGAGGTAAAAGCCATGAGTTACATGGCAACACATAGATGAACAGAAATGGGTTAATTTAAATTATACGAGCTATTGGGACAAGTCTAAGCTATAAGCTTAGCTTTTGTAATTAATAATAAATCTCTGTGTCTTTTTTGTGAGCTGATGACCCAAAGAAAAATTTGTCTACATGTAGTACCCAAAACAGGGCTTGAATATCTAAACATAGGGGCTAAGAAAGTTATGAAAAATTCTGGATAAGGAGAAGTATATAGCTTCCTAGTCCCTCAGTCTGTTGGGCAGGCAGGTGCTCAGCAGCATACAGAGGCATGGCTACTGATTGCTGCCTATGGGCTGGAACCAACTGCCAGCACCATGCACTAAGCTAAGCCACATGGAAGCTGAGATGCAGTTTAAGATTTGTCTCATGTGGTTAGGGAATACTGCAGGTGCTCAGTAAAGACATATCTAGATGGAAATAACACTCAGGTTACAGTATGTTTAAAAAATGTGCATAGGCTTAAAAAAGAAAAGAAAATGGGTATAGATAGTCATAAAAATGTAGTTTATAAATAATAAAATAAAGTCTTTAAAGAGAGAATAAAATAATATAAAAAGGATAAGCCGCTGGGCGGTGGTGGCGCACGCCTTTAATCCCAGCACTCGGGAGGCAGAGGCAGGCGGATCTCTGTGAGTTCGAGGCCAGCCTGGACTACCAAGTGAGTCCCAGGAACGGCGCAAAGCTACACAGAGAAACCCTGTCTCGAAAAACCAAAAAAAAAAAAAAAAAAAAGGATAAGCCACATAAAGATGAAAAATACACAGGGAGTCTGGATCCTATATGGTGTCTTGTTGACTTCAAATTTTTTGATTACTGGTGAGCAAATGACAACTGCTAAGAGACATGGGATTGTAAGAGGGACTGCCAAATGAAACCAGCCTAGATACTTTAGAAATTCTTTAACTTTAAAAAGGAAGTCAGAAAATGTATTGCTTTGGGGAAGAGGTTATGCTTTTGTTTCTATAGAAAATGAAAGACTGTGGATTCCTTCAAGGTTGATAGATATCAGGTTTGATCAGGGAAGACCCCCTGAAAATCCTGGCTACCGACATAAAGAAATAAACCTATAAAAACTACAAGACAGATGACATACATTTTACCTGCTCAAACAAAAAACAAAAAAAAAAAATCATCTTTGGCTGGCTTGTGTACAATGCGCAGTCCATACTTATGTTAATGCAGATAGGTATGAAAGTTTCTATGTTTTCAGAGCAAAGGGACCAGATACCAGTGAAAATGGGTGGCCCAGGTGATCTAACCTCTCAGAGTGCCGCTGTTGCAGTTTCCTGAGAGTTCTACATTCAATACAGCTTCAAAGCTGCTGGCTGAGATGGTCTAGCCTCACAGACTATTCTAGCCAGGACTGAAGATAAGCCTTGTGCTTTCCCATTGCACAGACACTGGGCAACAAATGTTACAGCTAGCTTTCCCAGGACTTGACCATTATCCTGATTTTCTCAGGGTCCCCAAAGATGCCATCACCACCAGACAACATGAAACAGTATAGAGAACATGATACTTACATTCCCAAGAGGTGGGGTGGGTGATTTTTGGTTGTTCAATGGGTTATGGATGTATGTCATTATTTGGAGGTTGGTCACAAGTTGTTACTAGTCATGGTCAGGGGAAAAGCTAAACAAGGAAATTAGATTTAGGAATATCTTTCTGAAGGAAAAAGGGGGATGTAGTATATAAATGATGGAATAAAAGGGTAGATTGTTGAGTCTACTTTTGAATAACCACTAGTCTCAAATATTTTACATTGGTATGGAATTTTGTGTATTGATACAAATGTAAGGTTATTTTTGTTAGAACATACTGTACATGTTTTTACTCTTGTTTAAGATTTTGTACCTATGCAACTCATTTAGCAATGTAATATAAATTTTTAGTCCTTAAACATTATTATTACAAACTACTTAGGATGACAAAGAAATGCAGGTTAATATAGTTAGTCACCTATATTATCAAACTTGTAGTCATAATAAGTATATTTTCAAGGTCAAACAGAGATATCTTTTATAGAGACAAGTGGTCTTAAAACACTTCAAAGACCTACAGAATATGGCACTTAAAATGTTTTGATAACATAAGGCTTTTCATGACAATGAGACACATCTGCTCCTGGAAGCACCGATTTATTTCAAAAAAGGATAATGGGCATCAAAGAACCTCCATATGGAGTTTGCTTTCATTTGTAGCAATGTTAGTCAATGGGCAAAGAAATTGCCCTTGCCTCAACTGCTGACAGAATGCTGTCCAAACTGGACAATCAGAACACAAAAGAAGACAACTGCCAAATTTCACCAAGACAAGGTAGGGCAGTCATTCAAAATTCTGCTTTACAAAAAAATCTGTCAGATATTTTAGGCCCATGGGCTGAAGATGGATGTTCCAGTGTTACAGAGGAACCTTGGGTGATTGTCTAGGCATCCTGCTATTTCTATCATTTCTATAGTTTTGGAAGTTGTTTGGTCTGTACCCCCTGTTTACTCAGGTAATATATTCTTCTCTGGGCTCTGATGGGGTTGAAGATGAAACAGTTATAGTTAAAGTTTTCTTTGTTACCAAATTCAGAAAAGAAACTTACAAAAGAGATGTAAAATGTATAAGGTTGAGAGACATAAAAGTTTAAGTTGTTTATCTAAGAAAATGTTTTAAGTTCTAAAAAAATATTTTTAGACTGATAATACAAGCTGTGATAAAAATGGTTTAGGTATAAAACTTTGGACTCACTAAGATAGGATAGTACTTTCTCCAAATTTGCCAAGTACATATGGGATTGGACATTGTAAATGTAAATCTTACTTGAAAATTGTTCTTATTGTATATAGTTTTACTTCATTAAAGTTAAAACCTTCCCTTTTTATTTAGACAATACCTGATAATTGTTCTTATTGTATATACTTTTACTGTGTTAGAGTTAAAAGCTTTCCTTTTTATTTAGACAAAGAGGGGGAAATGTTGCAGAATATTCCTTTACACTGTGAAATATGTCACTGTGATCAGTTTAATAAAGAGCTAAATGGCCAATAGCTAGGCAGGAAGAGATTAGGTGGCACTTCTGGGGACAGAGAAGACTTAGAGAGAAAGAAAGGTGGGGTCACCAGCTGTTGGGAGCCATGCAGCCTAGTCTCAGATCAGCATATGACTACCTATCCAATGGATTTCCTTAGGGCAAGGCACCTGTGGAAAGAGACTCTCACTTGGCAAGGACCAGTAGTCCACAAGACAGCACAGAAATTTGCAAAATTTGTGCAGCTTGCAGGTTCTTATCTCTCTCATTATATTGGTGATTCTTTGGGTGTTTTTTTAGTTTTATTCTGTCAGTCACACATGCAATAGCTGCAATTTTCCCTGGATATTCTGCTCTTCCTCAAATATTTTCCTCTAAGATTCAACAGGGGGCTAATGCTTCTCAAATCTCTTACCTGGAATCAGTAACTACAACTTCTAATCCTGGGAACTTTTCTGACTCAATAGAGATAGTTAGGTACATATTAGAAAACAACACTTGGAACATTAACCATATCTCACAGTTCTGGAAAGGAGAATAAGGCATGCATACACAGAATAGGGAAAAAGCCTCAGGAATACACATATAGTGCCAACAGTTGAGAGTAAGTTCCCTGGACACCAAGCATAGAATCATTGGTAGGATCTGGTATGCTCCAAGAGGAAAAAATACAATGCAAAATGTGGGATGGATAGATCCATCTTTATCATCCATAGAAGCTTATATTGGTAGAAGTATGATATATATAGTGAGATGGGAAAAGAGTGCTTTATCAAGGTCTGCCTTTTACAGAGAGATTGAGACATGGGACCCTTTTATAGGAAAAGGAACTGTATAAAAATATATCTCACAGACATGAAAGGACTGTCTTGGTTTGAATATTGTCGTCCTTAAAACACTGTTCCCATGTCTATTACTTTTTTAACTTTGTAGCCACAGTAGCTGCCAGCTGACATAAGTGCTGAGAGAGCAGGATGTTTCTGGCTTGATACTTAGTTAAGTCTGAAAAATGCTGAACTCTGTGTCTAGGATAAGGTTATGTGGGGGGTGGGAAGGTGTATTTGGGAAAGCATAAAGGGGAACAATGGGGATTTTCATAATGATCATGATGTATTCCTTAAATTATGATGTATTTCTTAAAGTAAAAAATAGAAGCCAATAATAAAGCTGTTCATATAACCCTGGTTAAAAAAAAAACTCTGTTTAAGTATAAATAAAGAGAGCCTGAGCTATTGGGGGCCACTTGGGTAAAACCCACTTGGTGGTCAGAGGTTTTCTTGCACTGATACCCCTTCCCTGCCTCAGGACCTGAACCTGAGCCGAGGCTGGACCCCAGCAACCAGGCAGACACAGAGGGAGCAAGACATGCAGTAGGGAGGTAAAAGCCATGAGTCAGTGGCAACACATAGATGAATAGAAATGGGTTTATTTAAATGATAAGAACTAGTGGAATACGCCTAAGCTATAGGCCAAGCTTTTATAATTAACAATAAGTCTCTGTGTCATTTTTTTGTGAGCTGGTGGCCCAAAGAAAAATCCATCTACAGATTACCCTTCTGAAGAGCAAAGTGTGTATACATATTAGGTCCCGTGTCTTGTGGTGATGGAATGTCCCCTGACAGGTAGCTCTCTGTAGCTGCCTGGCATCTCTGGTATCATGCCACCTCTGTCCCTCACAGTCCCTCTTACACCATGCAGGCTACAGAGGGATTGAGATCTGTAGCTGCTCTACTTGTGGTTTCTGATTTTACTGAAATTGTTGGAGTGTTTGATATTAATGATAGTTTAGAATAACAGAGAAGAATTTACAAGCTCTTGAAATACTGCCAAGAACCAGGCACGTAAGTCTTAGGCAGAAAAAGACTTGCTTTTTCTTCTTTCCAATGTTCCAGACACCTTTGCTATGTTTAGGTGAGGGACCATAGACAGACTGGGCAGCTGAATAAAACCTGAGTAAGGGAAGCACAGTCTGCCATAAGCATGCAAAGTCTAGCTGGAAGAGAAGGAGAACTAACAGCCCATACCCTGCCGTCATGACCTCTCTAAAAGCAAACCTCAGAGTTTCCTCCCATTGTGGTGAACAGGTCACTAAAGACTAGCAATCCCTGATGGCACTGTGCCTACAAACTGAATGGCAGCCTTTGATCATTGAAGCTTTATATAGAAACTCCAACGCTGAAAGAAATATAAAGAGCCTGTGGACCGAGGAGCCACTCTGGATAGCTCTAAACGCTGAAGGAGATCATGAGACCATGAGGAGGGTGCTCAGTTATAGGTGTGTTTTTTGACTAGGGGGGCAAGTGGACGGACTGCAGACTAGCTGGGGCTTTGCTGCAGGGGATTGCCAAATCTTGTGATATGGGCATGAACATACCTTGAAGTGGGAAAGAATGGCATGGAATCAAGTGGAACAGCTAGGAAATATTACTGCTTCATGTATAGTAAGGATAAATGTTGATTTGTGTTAACGCTATGTGAATAGTCTGTGTACATATGTGGAGATGTGCTGAGTTGAGATCTTTCACTTATTGTGACTCTAATAATAAAATGTTTGAGGAACACTGTCAGAAGTTAGCACTTTCTCTCATACTTTTGGGATTCTGGATGAAAACAAAAAGGTAAGACAAAAACTTTGGACACTTAACACGGAGCATTTCAGAAACTTCTATGCTTTGGGAGAAATTGTTGTTCAACTACTGTGACATAAAAAGGTAAAACCTAGCCGGGCGGTGAGGGCGCACGCCTTTAATCCCAGCACTAGGGAGGCAGAGGCAGGCGGATCTCTGTGAGTTCGAGGCCAGCCTGGTCCACAGAGTGGGTTCCAGGACAATCAGGGCTACACAGAGAAACCCTGTCTTGAAAAACATCAATCAATTAATCAATAAACTAAAACTAAAATAAAATTTGAGGTGGAAGGAAGCTGCTTAAAAATCGAACAACTAAATGAGAGATCTATTTATTACTGGCCCTGGGAGAAAGACACTCATCAGATCAGCATGAATATGGAGGGCTTTCAGGAGAGGAGGTGCTTCGTGTAAATGATTGCTGACCTGACCTGAAAATGAGCAAAGCTTCCAGACCGGTTTCACCTAGCCCGAGACCTCTCCCGAGTCAGACCTGCAGTCTCTCCGCCTGTTTGACTCCCTCTTTGATTTCCAGTGGTGACCTGGTAAAATCCCAGGAGAGTGTGAGCCCACTCTGGAAATAACTGAGGAGGAGCAAGCAAAGCTCTCGGAGGCATCCAGGTCAGTTCTTACTTAATGTATGATGACTTCTATCTTCATTCCTAGGACACTGCTTGGTTTGTTTCCAAATGCTCCAGCTCGGAAACCACTCCTGATGGTGCTCTCTATCTTTGTTTTCTGGGTCATCTTCATGACTTCAAAAGACCACACAAAGGTAAGAATCGTTTCCTATTATGTAATCTCCCAGGGAGGGTCAGAGTGGCTTCACTTGGATGCTACTCTGAAACTGCGAGAAGCAGATGTTAAAAGTATACCACCCTAGCAAGGCAGCGTAAGAAGAATCTCTGTTCTACACCACTCCCTTGCACAATAAATGTACACATGCGGGTACTGCTTCTTTAGTGGCAGGTGGACTAGTGCCTCTTTTTACTGCTTGCCATTGCCATCTGTCTCAAGATTATCTCTTCCTATAGCCTGTGCGGCTGTAATGCAACTGTATCTGTTTCAGTCCTTTCCCTCCATCACGGAGGATTACTATTCTTTGTATAGTCCCCTCAGCATTGCTTGGATTTCCCCTTTCTGCAGTCTTATTTGACTCCCCATTTTTCCTCTCCCTAATCATCTTCATCTGACTGCTCAGAGGGTATCTTGTTGACACCAACATGGCCCCCACTCCACGGCTCTGCAGTTCCCTTGCTCTGCTTGACTTCTTTTTTGTAGTACTTTTCACTTGCTACTACTATACTGCAGAATTTACCATGACATCCATTGATGGTTGCCTACCTTCACCTACCCTGTGATAACCCCTAGGACAACAAGGATTTGGGTATGTACTTACTTGTTGTCATAACCCCATGCCAGACACATATCAGACGCTCAGTAAATAACTTGTCAGTAACAAAGTAAAGAAAGGTTTTTCAGTGATCTGACCTAGGTGAGAAGTAACAATGAATTGAGAGAGGGCGTTAACAATGAGGAGGGAGAAAAGTCAACTAATTTAAGACAGAATTTGTAATCAGATGTCATGGTCTCACATCTTGGCAATTTCAGAATCCAAAAGTACAACCCAGTCATAAGAGAATGGAGAAAGATATACCTGCTGCAAGCAAGGAGGTTGCTGACATCCCTTGCAAAGCAATGTTCTCTCTGAATGATGGTCATTCGAGGATCTTATTAGGGGAGCTTATACTTACTCATACAGAAAAGTCTGTGAAGAAGCAGGCATATTCTTGGATTGCCCAGTTTTAAGATGTAAAGTCCTGAGCATGCTCACATACAGTCCTAGATCTTGTGTTCAAAAAGGAAAGATGGTGAACACAAACACTTCTGGGCTTGCCCAGTTTAACATTATAATAAACCATGCTTACTCCATATTGCCTTTAAGAAAGAGTCAGATTGACTTGGAGACCCTGACTGATTTCTCATAAGTATCTCCAAGGTGTTCTAGCTGAAATGGAAATAAACAGCTCTGAAGGTGCATACAGCCTTTTTTAAAGGGAGGACTCTTTCTCTTCTGTAAGCAGAGGAGTCCTAGTGGTACCTCCTAGTAACTGAGTGATATGGAACAAACCTGCGATTCGAGTACTCTGGAGGCTGAAGTAAGATCATGCCCTTGAGACTAGTCAGGGCTATGTAATAAATCTGAGAGCAGCCTTGGCTATTGTCCTAGTTAGGGTTTCTAATGCTGCAAAGAGACACCATGACAATGGCAACTCTTATAAAGGAAAATAGTTAATTGAGGTGGTGGTTTACAGTTCAGAGGTTCAGTCCATTATCATTATGGCAGGGAGCATGGCAGTGTGCAGGCAGACATGGTGCTGGATACATCTTGATCAGAAGGCAACAGGAAGTGAATTGTGATACTGGGAGTAGCTTGAACATAGGATAACTCAAAGCCCACCTCCATGGGGACACACTTCCTCCAACAAGGCCACACCCACTCCAATAAAGCCATACTTCCTAATAGTGCCACTCCCTTTGGGACCCATTTTCTTTCAAACCACCACGTTCCATGCCCTGGCCCTCAAAGGCTTGTAGACATATCATAATGCAAAAATGCATTCAGTCCAACTTCAAAAGTCCCTATCATCTACAACAGTCTCAAATTTGTTTCAAAGTCCAAAGTCTCTCTGAGACTCATGGCAATCTTTTAACTGTAATCCCCTGTAAAATTAAAGTCAATAAGCAGATCACATACTTCCAACATATAATGGCACAAGATATATTTTACTATTCCAAAATGTAGGGAAGGGAGCTTAGTGAGGAAATACTGTACCAAAGCAAGACTGAAAATCAGCTGGGCAAATATTCAAACTCTACATCTCCATGTTTGATGTCCAAACAATCTTCAGATCTCCAGCTCCTTTCAACTTTGTTGACTGCAACATATTTCTTTCTCTTGGGCTGGTTCCACTTCCTATTAGCAACTCCCCTCAGCAGATATCCCATGATTCTGTCTCTAACATCTTGGATTCTCCAAAGCAATCCAGGCTTCAACTTCACAGTTTCACGAAATGGCCTCTCTAGGCCTCCATTCAGGGACACTCCTGACATGCCTGGCCTCAGTGGCTTTCTTTACTCACAGAGGATTATTCTAAAACCCATTTCTTCTATCCTTAAAGCCAGAATCATGTGGCCAAAGCTGCCAAGTTCTGCTTATTGTTGGGGCTTGTATGTGACCCCTCACTCAATTACATCTTCACCAACTTCCTGTTTTTTTGTGGTTTCCTTCACTGCCTAAGCTTGGCTGTCCTGAAATTGTATCTGTAGAATATGCTGGTCTCAAACTCAGAGATCCACTTGCCTCTGTCTTCCAATTGCTAGGATTAAAGGCGTGTATCACCACACTCAGCTCTAAGCTTTTCTTTAGTTCCTTTTCACAAGTTGGAATCTTAGTTGGGTCGGATCTTGCCCTGAGGTCACCATCACTCCCTTATCCCATTTCTTAATCTGTTTATCTCCTTGAACACAGGACTTAGCTCCATTCCATGTCCTGGCACTCGTTTTCTCCTCAAATTGTATGTTTTGTATTTTTCCTTGTTCGCTTGCTCCTTTTCATTATATATCTTCATTAGAGTTACCGCTAATATCCGCATGACAGAGTCTATACTAAGCTGTCTTGAAATTTCCTCTGTCAATGGAATTAATCCAAATCTCATCACTTTAGCCTCAAGTAGACTTTTCAGACAAGGACAAAAGCAGCCACATTCCTCACCAAAATATAGCAAAAATGACCTCTAGGCAGCATACTAAAATTCTTCTCTGGTGAAACCTCTTGAGCCAGCCCCTGACAGTTCAAATAACTCTTAGCACCACACTAGTATGGTCATTTATGCAGTGCTTAAAGCATTCCACTGCTTTTCTAACCCAAAGTACCAAAGTCCTATTTCCTCCAAACAAAAACATAGTCAGGCCTATTACAGCAATACCCCAATTCCTGGTACCAACTTTTGTCTTAGGGTTTCTATTGAGGTGAAGAGACACCATGACCATGGTAGCTCTTATAAAGGAAAATAGTTAATTGAGGTGGCGGTTTATAGTTCAGAGGTTCAGTCCATTATCATCATGGCAGGGAGCATGGCAGTGTGCAGGTAGACATGGTGCTGGATACACCTTGATCAGAAGGCAACAGGAAGTGAATTGTGTGACACTGGGAGTAGCTTGAGCATAGGAGAACTCAAACCTGCCCCACAGTGACACACTTCCTCCAACAAGGCCTTATCTACTCCAACAAAGTCACACCTCCTAATAGTACCACTCCCTTTGGGGACCATTTTCTTTCAAACCACCACAGCTACATAGTGAATTTGGGACCAGATTGGGGTACATAGCAAAGCCTTACCTCAAAACAAAAGAACAAAATGGTACCTTGGAGGGTAGCCAGGGTTCTCTAGAGAAACAGAACTTATCTATCTATCTATCTATCTATCTATCTATCTATCTATCTACCTATCTACAGGATTTATTAGAATGGTTTACAGACTGTGGTCCCAGCTAGTCTAACAATGGCTAGTAGTTAATAATCCAATAATCCAGTAGTTGTTTAGTCCATGAGGCTAGATGTCTCAGCTGGTCTTCAGTATACACTAGAATCATGAAGAAATAGGCTCTAATTCCAGTGAAAGAATGGACTTGCTACCAGAGCAGGATAAAGAGGCAAATAGAGCAGGCTTCCTTCTTCCATGTCCTTTATATAAGCTGCCACCAGACAGTGTGGCCTGGATCAGAAGATCTGGATTAAAGGTGTATCTTTCCACCTCAAAGATCCTGATTAAAAGTGGGTCTTCCCATTTCAAAGGATTTAATTAAGAAAAAAAATTCATCAAGGGTGTGCCTAGCCATTGGATTTTAGTTAATTCCAGATGTAGTCAAGTTGACAACCAAGAATAGCCATCATTCTTGAGTTGAGGAGATAGTCAATGAAAAAAGGAAGACAAAAAGAGTTATTTGTTGTTTTATCTTTTTTACAGTTGGCATGTTAAAACCTGTTAGTTACAGTGTAGCAGCACTGAGTATGTCATGTTTCTGGTAAGACATGAGAGAGCATCAGCAGGTAGGAGGTTAACATTCTATCAACAGGGGGCGGGGGAGAGGACCCAGAGGGCAGAGTGCTTGCTGTGTAAGCACGAGGACCTGAGTCTGAAGCTCCAGAACCTGCATAGAGCTGGCATTGCAGTAGTGCATGCCTGTAATTCCAGCACTCCTACAGGGAGATGGGAGGCCACAACAGGAGATCCCTGGAAGCTCGGCTGATCTAGTGGGCGGAGCACAGTAAGAGAAACCCTGTCTCAAAATAAGGTAGAGGGAGGACCGACATTCAAGGTTATTATTTGATCTCTGTACACTTGCTGTGTGTGATGTACATGCACACGCACACGCACACGCGCGCACACACACACAGAGAGAGAGAGAGAGAGAGAGAGAGAGAGAGAGAGAGAGAGAGAGAGGAGAGAGAGAGAACAAATAAAGATTTAAAAACCTGTATAAGTAAATAGAGCAACAAGGTGGGCAGAGGAAGGGAGAATCCTTCTCTTCTCCTCTCTACCTATTTGACTTTTTAAAGGCTTCAGTGTGAACTATGACCCCAGTCCACAGGAGAAGGCATTTTGGGCTCATTTGAATCCTTTGGCTCCTATTCCATCTTGGCTCTGGGATTAAGTAGTTAGTAAAATAAAATAGGGCACCATCAAATTGTGTTAATATGAGGCAAAAGGG